ATATATATATGCCCCCCTAGTTTTACAATGTCAAGAGCATTGATAAAAATATGAAACCACTAAGGGCGATATAACAATATCGGCCATTGTACATCGGCAAACTGCAACTGATTACATTAAAACAACTAAGGGCGATATAACAATATCGGCCATTGTACATCGGCAAACTGCATCCGATTACATTAAAACAACTAAGGGCGATATATGCAATATCGGCCACCTCAAGGCGATGCAAACGCACTGGCTATCATGTATCAACAACACTAGTCGATTATGCGTTAACCCAAACACTTGGATAATATTTCTTCAAATACTTGCCATTAAGCGCTCGCCCAAAAACTTCTCCATCGAGTCCTTGCAACATGTATGCTCCTTTAGACACAACCTTGTGGACTTGAAACGGCCCTTCCCAATTTGGTGACCACTTGCCGAATTTGCTATCTCGGGTTCCAACCAGCAAAATCAATTTCCACACAAGCTCACCTTCCGAAAAGGTCTTAGGCACCACTTTTGTATTATAATGCCGAGCAACACGTTCCTTATCCCTAGTAACTTTTGCTAGTGCTCGTAATCGCGACTGAACCAAGTCCTCCCGTTCATCGGCCATAAGATTATAGTGCTCTTCGGCCGTCAAATCATTTTGCAATTCTATTCTTCTGGAGCCGATTCGAACTTCCCATGATAAAACAGCTTCATGTCCATAAACAAGCTTATAAGGAGGAACTTGGATTGATCCATGACAAGCCATCCGATAAGACCACAACGCTTCGGCTAAACGAGTATGCCACTGCCGAGGATAATCAGAAATTTTCCTTCTAATCAACTTGATCAAACTTTTGTTAGATGCTTCGGCTTGCCCATTAGCTTGTGCATAATACGGTGAAGAATTCAACAACTTTATACCCATACTATCGGCAAACTGAACAAACTCATCAGACACAAAGATGGAGCCTTGATCAGTCGTAATAGTTTGAGGAATACCAAATCGGTAGATTATATGTTCTTGGACAAACTGTATTGCATCCCCGGAATCAGCCTTCTTCAAAGGGATCGCCTCTACCCATTTGGTGAAATAATCGGTTGCCACTAATATAAACTTATGTCCTTTACTCGATGGTGGATTAATCATGCCGATCATATCAATTCCCCATCCTCTGAACGGCCATGGTTTAATGATAGGATGCATAGCCGACGCTGGCGCTCTCTGAATTGCACCAAATTTCTGACAATCTTGACAACGTTTGTAATATCTGAAACAATCTTCTAACATCGTCGGCCAAAAATACCCCGCATGCCGAAGTAACCACTTCATCTTATGAGCCGATTGATGAGTACCACAAATTCCTTCATGAACTTCGCCGATTGCAACTTTAGTCTGATCAGCACTCAAACACTTAAGCAATACTCCATCAATCGTTCGATAATAAAGCTCATCATCCAATAAAGCATATTTCAACGCCTTATATCTTAACTTCCTAGAAGCCGATTGAGATGGATTTTGTAAATAGTGATGCACATCATATCTCCAATCATCGACCGTCATGGCAGCAACTTCAATCTGAACATCCTTGATCATCGGCTTATATCCCGATGCCCCTTGAGCTAAATCATTGGCCTCAATATTCTGCTCTCGAGATACATGCTTTAAAGTCACTAGCCGAAACTTCTTCATCAGTTCTTGGCACTTCTCATTATAAACCATCAACGTATCATTCTTGCACTCATATTCTCCTGCCAACTGACTGATCACCAACAAAGTATCTCCCATGATTTCAACAGCATCGGCTTCAACCTCCTTGAGCAATTGCAACCCTTTAAGAACTGCCTCATACTCAGCTTGATTATTCGTCGCATAAGGTTTAATAGTATAAGCAAACTCAAAGCATGCCCCCCGAGGCGAAATTATAACTAAGCCGATACCACAACCATGAGCACAAACCGATCCATCAAAAAACAAAGTCCAGGGCACAATCTCAACCGAGCCGATTGAATCATCACGATAATCAACTATGAAATCGGCTATAGCTTGCCCTTTGATTGCCTTCGGCGATTCATACCGAAGATCAAATTCAGTTAAGGAAAATATCAATTTTTCAACCCTTCCTTTCAAAATTGGAGCCGACAACATGTATTTAACAACATCGGCCTTACATATGACAGTGCATTCATTGGACAACAGATAATGCCTTAACCTTGTGCATGAAAAATATAGGCACAAACATAACTTTTCCACAGAAGAATATCTAATCTCTGCATCCAAGAGCCTACGACTTAAATAAAACACAACTCTTTCTTTTCCTTCAAGCTCTTGAATCAAAACCGAGCCAATTGACTTCTCACCGGCCGACAAATATAACCGAAAAGGTACCCCTTTCTGTGGAGAAATTAAAACTGGAGGAGAACTCAAATATTCTTTAATATTATCCAAAGCTTTTTGCTGCTCTGCCCCCCAAGTAAACTGTTGATCGGCCTTTAATCGCAATAATGGTGTAAAAGGCTCTAACCTTCCAGACAAATTAGAAATAAACCTTCTAACGAAATTAATCTTGCCGATCATCTCTTGCAATTCTGTTTTATCCTCCGGAGGCTTAATCTTCTTGATCGCACTGATACTTCTTTGGGTAATCTCAATCCCCCTCTCATGAACAAGAAATCTCAGGAACTGACCAGCCGACACACCAAAAGCACATTTTGTCAGATTCATCTTCAAGCCATATTTCCTGGTTCTCTCAAAAACCTTCCTCAAATCGGCTATGTGGTCCTCTATCTCTTTAGACTTAACAACCACATCATCAATGTAGACTTCAACCAACCAGCCGATTAAATCATGGTATATATAATTCATAGCTCTTTGATACGTTGCCCCAGCACTTTTCAAGCCGAAAGTCATTACAACCCACTCAAACAATCCGATTGCACCGGGACACCTAAAAGCTGTCTTATGAATGTCTTCTTCAGCCATAAAAATTTGATTGTATCCAGCATTTCCATCCATAAAACTCAAAATCTTATGCCCTGACGCAACATCAACCAGTTGATCGGCCACTGGCATTGGATATTCGTCCTTTGGGGTAGCTTTACTCAAATCTCTAAAATCAATACATACCCTAACCTTGCCGTTTTTCTTGATAACAGGAACTATACTAGAAATCCACTTAGCATACCAGCAAGGACGAATAAAACCAGCATCATATAAGCGTTAAATCTCAGCCTTAACAGGTTCAAGCATATCGGCTTTGCATCTTCTCGGCGGTTGCTGATGTGGTCTAACCCCGAGTTTGATAGGTAGCCGATGCTCAACGATCGATCGGCTGAGTCCTGGCATTTCATAATATTCCCAAGCAAAGCAATCTCTAAATTCTTTTAAGAGCTCTATCAACTTGGTTCTCCTCGCCTTAGCCTCCTCCCCGCCCTCCTCGTCGGTGCTGAACGGCGCGAGTGGACGGAACGTCAGCCGAAAGTGGCCCCGACCCCGGCGAGCCGTCGGAGACCACGTCGGTAACCGTGAGGACGAGGACGATGAGCGGCAGCGCGGGCCGCCGCCGCCATTCCCTTCGCCCTCCCACTGCCGTGAGCCGCTGCCGCCGTTCCCCTCGTCCTCCCACTACCGCGAGCCACCACGGCCGAGCCGCCGCCATCCTAGCCGCCGACCGCCGCCCTCGGTCCGGTTCCGCTGCGTCCCGATGGCCGCCGCCGCTGCCATCGAGAAGGAGAGAAAAGAAAAAATATAGGGGTGGAGTCCCTGATAGGTGGGCCCCACTTAATTTTTTTTAATTTATTTGATGACTGGGATGCCTTGTAGGCCCACGTCAGCGAAACCGCCCTCCAAAACCGCCGAGGGATTCAAATTATACTGGTTTTAAGAGTTGGGGGTCGAGATATCCGGGGCTGCCTATGGCTCGGGCGCCCGACGATTTGGATAAAAATCGGGCACTGACATCAGCACCCGATTTACGTGCAAAACAACTTTAAACTGATTTTTCTCTTAAATTACTTATCCAAATCATGGTCCGATTGCACCATTAAATTCGTTGCAATTAAATCTTTAAAACAAGACTACACATGGATATATTCCAACGAAAAAAAATTAGCTTATTATTGAATTTTTTAAAAATGTTGCACGATATTCTACCAGGTATATAGGAATTGTCTCACTAAGTAGATCGAAAATGTTTCACTCGTTTAAATTGGGTGTTGTTTCACCTTATATAAAAACAATGTTTCAGCAAATAGTGAAAAAAATGTTTCAGTTCACTGCAACATTAGATCTATACATAGTGAAACATTGTGAGTACACTAGGTGAAATATTTTTTGGTGGAACAAAAGATAAACCAAATTCCCTTAATAGGAGGTTTCTAAAATATGTGGGTTTTTTGTTGCAATGGAATGTTTCGTTCACTGCAACATTAGATCTATGCATAGTGAAACATTATGAGTACACTAGATGAAACATTTTTTGTGGATAAAAAAATAAACCAAATTCCCTTAATAGAGAGTTTTCAAAATATATGGGTAATTTGTTGCAATAGAGTTGTGTGTATGGACACGTGGTGGGCCAGGGGAGGGGAGCGCGTGCATGCGGCGGGGGAGCGCCCGATTTCTCCTCCCCCGCCCGATCGCCCGACGGGCATCATTATCGCGAGATATCCAGTTTCGTGGTTTAGGGTAACGGATTAGATTCCGGTCAGTTTTGAGGGTCACAAAGTGAACTTATTCCGCAGCTGCATGGAGGTTCCTGGGATTAAATAACAAACGGGCCGCGTCACATATGCATGCAACATGCGGCCATGCAAGAATTGCAGTTGCAGGGGGATCCGATCCGATCCGATCCAACGCGCGCGGGGTACGTGTGGCCGCTGATCTCGCCGATGATGCCATGCATGCACTCGATTAATCCGGCAACCGTTCCGCCGCCGCCCGCCTCTTCCTCCTCCTGCGCCTGCGCAGCTAGGGTTTTGCTTGTCTCTCGTAACCCTATAAAAACTCTCGATCATCAGCTCATCTCATCCACAGGCCGCGCCACACACTTGTTGCCACACCACCGATATCGAATTAGCCAAAAGTTTGTTAGTACCACTGCCTTGCGAGATCCACGTCTCTGCAAGATGCAGATCTTCGTGAAGACCCTGACGGGGAAGACCATCACCCTCGAGGTCGAGAGCAGCGACACCATCGACAATGTCAAGGCCAAGATCCAGGACAAGGAAGGTATATATATATACCCACAACAATTAACATCTACCCATCCATTTTAATTTCATCATATATTCCATGCATGTTCGATCCCTCGCCTGTTTCTTAATTTCTTTTCTCTCTGTTTTTTTTTTCAATTCACTAGCTTTCTGCTGGATCGAAGGATATCTGATTAAATGATGTTATTCATGTGTTATATTATTAATTTGCAGGGATCCCGCCGGACCAGCAGCGGCTGATCTTCGCCGGGAAGCAGCTGGAGGACGGCCGGACGCTGGCCGACTACAACATCCAGAAGGAGTCGACGCTGCACCTCGTGCTTCGCCTCCGCGGCGGCGGCCGCCCGGGCTACCCGATGATCGAGCCCAACCTCCTCGCCCTCGCCCGCAGCAAGATGGAGAAGAAGATGATCTGCCGCAAGTACGTCCTCGATTGATCAATTGATGGATTATATATATATTCACAAATATTGTTAACTGAAATCGATCGCCCATTCAATCTCCATGTTTAATTTTCATTTTGATCTTGCGTCTATATATGCAGGTGCTACGCGCGCCTTCCCTACAAGGCTACCAACTGTCGCAAGAAGAAATGCGGCCACACCAACGAGGTGATCATCTCTATCCTTGTGTTTTTTATGGTGCATTTTGATTCCGGAAAGTAACTTTCGTATTGATCAACGCGCACTTGAATTATATTCATGTTCTTAGATTAGTTAGTTAGTGTAGTAGTACACTTAGTAGTGATATCTAAGATCCATGTTCTATTTTATTTTGGCCGTTTGATATATATAGATAATTAGATATCACCTGTAATGTTTGTCTTTTTTGGTCATGACCCAAATTATAGAAATGTACTCCCTCCGTTTCACAATGTAAGTCATTTTAGCATTTCCCGCATTCATTCATATAATTGTGGAAAATGCTAGAATGACTTACATTGTGAAACGGAGGAAGTATTAAAGAGATGTAGTCGAACCTTTTCATCAGATGTATATATATAACTTTATGCATGTTGCACTTTTGAATACTCCCGGCCTCTAGGTTGAAAATAATTATTGCTAATTGTTTGGATAAAACTGATGTCAATCTTTGTAAAGTTTTAAAATATTACCTTAGTAACATGAAGACAATAAGATTAATCTCAAAAGATACTTAAATTACTTTTATAAGTAATTAGGTTCAAAAGTTTCCCACTAGCACGTCCCCATCTAGCTCCATCCGTCCCTGAAAATTCCCTATACGATTTTGCATAGAGTACAATCGTTTAATTTACATGTAACTACCGTTTAATTTGCTTTAGAATTCATGCAAGGGAGATAGGTAAAAATCATAATCCACGCACATGTGAGTGGATTCGGTACAATTATCTTTGTTTTTACGGAATTAGCATGTCACTTAAGGATTTTTGAAAGTTACATAGATGTTTCACTATAATTACATGCAAATTACAATATAATAATATCATGATTGTACTATATTTATATTTGTCAAATTTTTTAGTTAAAATTTAACGATAAATATATAGCTAATCCCGTTGAATATTTGTTAACTATTTTGACGCGTATTTTTCCAACATTATTGCTTTTCAGCTGAGGCCAAAGAAGAAGCTGGTATCCAAGCTTTCTGTTTGAGACCACAATTTGCCATTGCTAAGCTTGCATGCAGACTCATTGTTCTATATATGGGGACGTATCGCGTATCGTCATGCATAGCCGAATAACTAAATTATTTATTATCTAGTAATTTAGTACCGTATCTGTGTTATTTGAGGTTTTTGTTAAGTCTGAAGCCCCTGCTGAATGCTGAACTATTATTATTATTATTATTATTATTATTATTATTATTATTATTATTATTATTATTATTATTATTGCTGCTGCTGCTGCTGCTGCTATTACTATTACTATTACATCAACTGAATAATTAATTAGTTCGTTGTGTTGATGCTCGATCGGCCGTACGTGGCATATGTGCTCATGTTATTAATATTGCTGGCCGGTTTATTGAAATCAAGCCAGAACTTTCATTAATACCCACTAGCTTTATGTAATTTTCATCTTTTGGTTGCAATTAACGACGACGTCGATTATAATATCGGGTCTTCGGTGGAATGGGCCTATACGTGCGTGAATCAGTCACTCTCTTTGCTCTAACAATCTCTTAATTGCGCAAGATGCAACACCCTACGTTCAACTATATATATTTTTTATCATTATTTTTTCATAATAACTATTATGCTGCATTAGTAATTTTATAAAATTCCAGAAGTTTGAGACTGAAATTACTTTATACGAAAAATCTATTGCATGACACACTCTAATATCTTCAGACATTGTACTTAAGAAAATGTCAATAGTATATTTTTTCAATTAATTATATAGAAGACTTGCACACTACTTAAAAAATCATTTTTAACACCACCCTTTTATTTTTATTGGCAAAATTAAAAAATACAGGCTTGTAAAAATATATTAGAGATTCTGATCAAGTGCTGTTACTTAGAACACCGTAAAAAAATTTTGCCATATTTTTTAAAAAAAGCCACAAACGACTCCCACCTCACCAATTTTCTCCGCAATATATTAGAGATTTTGATCAAGTGCTGTTACTTAGAACACCGTAAAAATTTTTTGCCATATTTTAAAAAAAAAGCCACAAATGACTCCCACCTCACCAATTTTCTCCGCCCTTCCGTGAGCCCTCCCTTGTCCCTTCTCCATAACCGGCAAAGCCATCCTGTGGCCCTCCCTCCGGCCCTCTGTCCAACCTCTCTTGTGTTCTTGATGTTTGTTGTTGGCTATCTTGAAATAATGTTGTTGTTTTGTTGTTTGCTGTTGTTGCGTTGATGTTGTTTGCTGTTGGAAGTCTAGATCCAAATCATTATTGTATTTTCTATTTTTATTTTTTTCGTCGAAAATACAACTTCATTGGCAGGTGTCGTAGGGGGCTGCCAGCAATTTTCACAAGCGGGTCTCTTAGACACCCACCTATGAAATTTGATCTTTATAAGGCATTTAGTTGCAGGCTGTTAGCCTGGCCGCTCTAGTAAAAAAACATTTTTTTTAAGTAGTGGCATGTATATATTTTTTTGGGTATTAGTATTTGAATCATGGTGATTGGACCCACTATTCCATCAACGTACTATACCACTGGTGTTTCCTCATAGAAGATGATCTAGCTAAATCGCTAGACACCAGACAAGCAAATGATTGTTAGGCTCCACGGAAGCTCCAAAATTAGCTAAAACATGGGCAATCCATTACAATTTCATGAAACAAGAGGAAATTATCATTAGTCTTCAGGAAAGCTCCAAAATTAGCTAAAACATGGGCAATACACTATCACAATTTCTAGGATAGAACCGGACACTAACATCATTATAACTAGATATATAGCAACAAAAGTTTGACAGCTCTAAAAATTACAGCATTAATACCATTATTTTCGTCAAGATCATTTATACCAAATACTAGATTGAGAGCATTAGATTCAGTAGTTAGCATTTCAATACCCAATTCCACTAGCAATATTATTGTTCTCTCTCCACACATGCCTTGGAATGTAAAGTATCTTGTAAATTTTCCAAATTTCCAGTTGCAGCCATCAACAAGTTCCCTAGTTCATCACATAGTAGACACACCCATCCTCCATTTCTTATATTTGGATCAAAAGCACCATCAATATTTGTTTTCAGGAAACCAGTCTCGGTTTTCTTCAAGACAAACATTTCATTGTCTTATGCATTAGATCATGGCTTTGATCTAGACAATTAAAATCCTCTAGGGTAAAACAAATTGTATTCATGATGGCTTGTTGTTGTACTCCCTCCGGGTTGACAATACTTGTTGTTTTGGACAAGAGTACAGTCTTCAAAAAACAACTTTGAGCATTATTTTCTATTATAATATGTAAAAAAGGTTAACAAATATATGATCTTATTAAAGTACTTTTTAAGACCAATCTATACATGTAGTCACCATATTTGAAAAACAAATATTTTAAAAATGATTCATAATCAAAGATTCTAAAGTTTGACCCCACTCTTGTCCAAAACGACAAGTATTATCAGCCCGGATGGAGTACTTAGACTTGTCGTGAATTTACTCTATTTCTTTCATCCCACCATTTCCAAAGGAAAGTAATTATCTTCAATTGTTTGTGATGAGAAAACTTCCAAATCTCCTCCATCACCTCTTTGGGTGAATTGCACAACATTAGTTTTGATCTTTCCTGCTCAAGATCTAGTTGACACCATCATTTTCGAACAATCTTACATTTGAAAAAAGAGTAACCGCCATCTTCGCCATACCTCCTACAAGATTGGCATATTTATATATCTTATATAGTTGGAAAAAACTAGGCATGCATTGAGCCACCTCATCTACATAATAGTAGTCTTTGGTCCCTCCCATGCTTTGATACCAACCATCCATTTCTCATATGCATTTACAACCCACTAAGTGCAGTTATTGCTATAAAGCTTAATGTGCATTGAACCATGACACCTAGAAAACTAATAGCCATTGGATCTCTCTCATGCTTGATACATAATTAAACATCTAAGTGTCATGTTGTATTGTTATTTCATATCAACTACTATAGAACTAATAATAACCATTTAGATATCTATATCAATATATCCTATATAGTTGGAAATAATCATTGGATTCCTCTCATGATTTGATACATAACCATCCATGTGCCATATACAATTGCAATTTTATATCAATTACTATAGAGCTCAAAATATTTTACATCTAGACAATACAAGCCTGCGATTTACACATTTTTCTTCGAGCAAACTTTGAAATATTTCTAAATTCCTTGCTGCAACGCGCGGGGTATCCACTAATAGTATCTATTTGTACACCACGTCTCCTAATGTTAACTTTTAGAGGAAGGCTATTATGCGTAAACCTCCATAGGAAGTGCTTTGTCTTATTTGCTATATTATTATCCTAAATTTTCCTTTAGTTGAATCCAGGACCAATTGTTGAACAACCTGGTTGTCCTTCCTTGTGAGCTTGTTCCTGCAAATAATGTAAGCCGATCTAACAAAAAAGCAACACTTGGGTCATAATGCCAAGAAATGATGTGTTCCATATAATCACGAAGCCAAATACGGTGTACCATACTACCATTTCAGCCCATGTAAATCCCAATTGTATGTTACCGAGTCAATTAATTCATTAACAATACCAAATCAATTTTCTCTACTAGCAAATAGTACTTTTCTTGAGCTGTCTATGTGTATGATGAGGAGAAATAGGTACAACGCACTGTTTGCAAAAAAAGCTGCCTCTATTTTTACCACTGCATATTGCCTGTCTGGTTATTTCTTACATCATCATATGTTTAACTTGCCTTCTCTACAAGTAATGATGCCCAACCCAGCCACACACAGTCATCACCCTCACTTGAAATAAGTCCACTTTGACTCCCTAAATTATAGGTTTAATCTAATTCGTATCACTCAAACAGAATACAATTTGACTCGCTCGATTATTTTGTAGACGATTTTCGCTAACGTGGCTCATTGATATGGTGATTCGAACACACTCGCGAGGGGTGGCCCAATCTTCATGGCAGTAGGTTCAAGACAGAGAGTGCCAGTGTAAACCGAAACACAAGAGGGTAACTAGCTGCGAGCAGCAAGAGGATAACTAGCTTTATACTTGCCAAGGTCGGATGCGACCAAGTGGTGAGGGTGAGAACGATCCGAAGCCTCCTGGACTCTGACCCGTCACACTGAGAAATCGCAGAACCACGATTCGGAATAACTAGCTTTATACCTGCCAAAGTTGGTTGCGACCAAGTGGTGAGGGTGAGAACGATCCGAAGCTTCCTGGACTCCGACCCGTCAAACTGAGCAATCACAGAACCACAATCTGAGACTAATCCACACAATACAGTGCAGCCGAACTGAAAGCCGTAGAGCACGAACTAGGGGGCACCAGAGGAGCCTTCTCACAAGTACAAAAGAATTCACAAGAACAAAGGGGTAAGACACTTATGCAGTCTTCAGCAATCTCTCATACATTAGGTTTTTGGTTGAACAAAAGTTATCTAATGGATGGAGTAGAGAGGTATTTATACTAGGAACATCCCTCCTAGCTGAGGTGTGAACATAAGAAGCCACGTTCTGGTGGTCAAGGCTTCAGTAAAAATGCCATCACTTCTTCTTGGAAAATGATATTGAGGTGGGGTTTGATACGTTGGAAACTAGACGTGTCCCTCTTTCCAACCATGTATGCCATGCAACCCGTCTCTTGACTGGCTGGGTCGCACAAGCCTTGTAAGTTGAGCCTTTGCAGCGTAAACCATCTTCTTGTTGGCGTAGACAGCTGCTGGTTGGGCATGGGCTGATTCCTCCTCAACGTAACCCTTGTCGTCCTCAATGTAACCCTTGTCGTCCTCAACGTAACCCATCCTTCTTGGCATAGTGATGACGTCCTCGGGCGTAAACCTTAGCAATAAAAAGGTAGAGCATTTAGGTAGTATAAAATTCTCACTAAAATTTGGGTTAAGCTGAGCAAAGAGAGAGTTCACCTCTTGTTGTATTTTCCTAGAACGGTTGCGCGTAATTGGACCAATATGCTTGATCGTTCTTGCTGAGATGTAATCTATCAACTTGGTTTACATCATCTTCATTTTCTTCATGTGATGTATGACGTAAACCATTGCCCTTGTTTGCGTCAAGTGTAACTGGGATGTGCTCATCATATGGTCCAACCAACTAAGTCAGCTTGTAGTCTGTAGAGCCCACATGTCAGTGACCCCTCTCTTTCTCCACCCCTAGCTCCCCTTTCCCCCCATCATCACATGAGCGAGGACGGCAGGCGGCGACAGCACGGTGATCAGTGTCCTTCCCCCACACCGCTACACGAGCTCTTGAATTTCTTAGTATTACATAACATCTAAATCTAAATGGATATCCACATGTAAATTAAATTAATGTGAGTATTCTCTATAAAAAATGAGTAGCATGTTTCGTGAAAAATCTGCTTTTATATTATTACAGTCAATATTATGATATTTTTTTCCGTAGCAGAGCAATAGACATTTAGCTAGTATGACCCAAATGTGGTACAACCCAACATGGGGAAGATTGGTGTGACACTACTACAGAGAAGAGATTTAGTGCCGGTTGGAAAACCCCCTTCGGTGCCAGTTTTCCCAATCGGCACAAGGGAGGCGGCACTGATTTGCAAATCAAAAGGGTACGACACAAAATACAATAGGGGTCGGTTTTATTTAGAACCGACACCTATAATTACTTAAAGGTGCCGGTTTTTTACGATTTCAACCCGCGAAGGTGGGAAAAGGCCTATATGTGCCGGTTTTAGCATTATCGGCACCTATAGTGGTGACACCTATTTAATATTTTGTAGTAGTGTGAGCATCGTGAATTCTTGACACTACAACAGATTTGTCCTTCCGTGATGAATTTCCTAAGAGAATAGAAATCCGTATCTATGATTGATTCTTAATAAATCATCACAAAGTTCTCTGATGACTTGAGTTTGAGGTAATAAATAATGGCGAAAAGTAGTCTCTAAATATGTGATGATGAAGGAGTAGGAGCCGTATGATAACAACTCGATGGAGAAGGGCGGGAAAAGGTCTATAGTATTGGTTTAATAATACATGTTAACTCTAATATAAGTTATAAGCTTATAGTTGGCTCTATTATTAAATTTGTTTTAAGCTTAGAGCTAGCCATAAGGAATATAAAATTATTTTATGTCTTCACAATGTGTATGTTAGCTTTGAATCTTAATGCTAAAGTGGATGAATAGAATTTGTTTTTCTTGTGGGCCCCACCTTAAGGTAAAAAAAAAGATGTTATACATTATAGCATTTGCTAGTTGCTGCAAGTAAAATGACATATGGTTTTAGGTCTTACCTTATATTTGTGGTGTATCTCAACACTGGTTAGAGCAACGAGGAGCAATTGGTGGCCGGAAAATAAGGAGTGATGGGTGATGGGTGAAGCGGGAAAAGGTTGGTGATGGGTTGAGCGTGGAAGCATCACCGTCAATATTGTTGATTTCCTCGATATGGACCCGGAATAGACATCGAAGAAGAAAGATTATAAATATAAGTGGTTGTCAAGTGGGCCAAATGCTATTAATGCAATTTTCTTGGTGGTTCTAGAGGTTGTTTTGCATATTTAATATAAAAACATGTGTATAAAGACATCAGTGGTTCTAAGGCAGTAGCTAAGTTTGTGGACTTAATTAAAAATAATTAAAAGGCTGAAATACAAATTATTTTGGTCCCCAATCAAAGGCTCAAAGCCACTGTGCATTGTCAGAAGGGTACATCCTAGTTTAAGATGGGACTACTTATACATGTATTGATAAATTTTCTTTCACAAATTTGACAAAAGTAATTATAGTACAATCGTGATGTAATTACATTGTAACTACAACTTTCAAAAATTCCTCCGTAACATTCTATTTCCGTGAAACAAAAGTCATGAGACCAAATCCTCTCACACATGCATATACTGTGATTTATTTTTCTTCCTCACTGAAATATTGAAACAAATCTAACGGTTTAAAATTATATATGAAAGTTTTATACATGTTATATTATATTATAGTTACATACAACTATGTTTGTGTTATAATCATATTCGTCAAGTTTTTATGAGAAGATTTGTCCATAAATAACAAAATTGGGTTTGGATGCATGGAGGTATACGTAATTAATTATCTTCCTCCGACAGGGCGACACACTCCTAAATTGAGTGTTAATGCCCTAATAAACTGAGTGAGAGCGCCTACCAACTACAGAGAGAGGGTTAACGTTGTCGAGGGCAGCGCGCTGCAGGCCGCGAGCTTAGCAACCCGGCTTGCGAGAGAACGAACATGGCGGCGGCGGCGGCGGCGGCGCACGTGCTCGTCTTCCCGTTCCCAGCGCAGGGGCACATCAACTGCATGATGCACTTCGCCACCGGCCTCCTCGGCGCCGGCCTGCACGTCACCTTCCTTCACTCCGACCGCAGCCTCCGCCGCCTCGGTGGCGCCGCGGCCGCGCTGGCCGCCGGCTCGCCGCGCCTCCGCTTCCTGTCCATCCCCGACGGCCTCCCCGACGACCACGCGCGCGCCGCCGGCGACCTCCTGGAGCACATGGAGTCGATCCGGACCAAGGGCAGCGTCGCGTACCGCCGCGTCTTGCTCGCCTCGCTTGTGCGTGCAGGTGACGATGGCAGCACCGGCGTCCAGTTCCCTCCGGTGACCTGCGTCGTCGCCGACGGCATCATGCCGCTCGCCATCGACATCGCTGAGGAGATCGGCGTCCCGGCGCTAGGCTTCCGCACGGTCAGCGCGTGCAGCTTCTTGGCCTACCTGTCGATTCCAAGGCTGTTCGAGCTCGGCGAGCTGCCGTTCCCGGCCGGCGGCGACCTCGACGAGCCGGTACGCGGCGTCCCGGGCATGGAGACCTTCCTTCGCCGACGGGATCTTCCGAGCTTCTGCCGAGGCGGCGGCGGCGGCGACAGCCAGAACGATCCCATGCTGCAAACGGTGAACGAGGTCACCGCGCACAGCCGCAAGGCGCGGGCGCTCGTGCTCAACACGTCCGCGTCCATGGAGGGGCCAGCGCTCGCGCACATCGCGCCGCACATGCGCGACGTCTTCGCCATCGGCCCCCTCCACACCATGTTCCCGGCGCCGGCGGCCGCGGGCAGCCTGTGGCGCGCGGACGACGGCTGCATGGCGTGGCTCGACGGGCAGCCGGACCGGTCGGTCGTCTACGTGAGCCTAGGCAGCTTCACCGTCATCTCGCTGGAGCAGTTCACGGAGTTCCTCCACGGGCTCGTCGCCGCCGGGCACGCCTTCCTGTGGGTGCTCCGGCCGGACATGGTCGGGGCGAGCCAGAGCGCCGCCCTCCGCGAGGCCGCCGCGGCGGCGGGGGACAGCAGGGCGCGCGTCGTGGAGTGGGCGCCGCAGCTGGACGTGCTGCGCCACCGCGCCGTGGGGTGCTTCCTGACGCACGCCGGCTGGAACTCGACGCTGGAGGCCGCCGGCGAGGGCGTGCCGACGGTGTGCTGGCCGTTCTTCGCCGACCAGCAGATCAACAGCAGGTTCGTGGGCGGCGTGTGGAGGACGGGGCTGGACATGAAGGACGTGTGCGACGCCGCCGTCGTGGAGAGGATGGTGAGGGAGGCGATGGAGTCCGCGGAGATCAGGGCGTCGGCTCAGGCGCTGGCGCGGCAGCTGAGGCGGGACATCGCCGATGACGGTGGGTCATCGGCGGCAGAGTTCCAGCGGCTCGTCGGTTTCATCAAGGAGCTAAGCCAGAGCATGGCGGACAGTAAGTCTGACGACCTCTTAACGGCGGGTATCAGGAATGCACTTAATTAACATTGTGTTAAGATGTACTTAATAATACTTGTCGTTACATACAAGTACACGGTCTCAAAAAAACAATCTTGATTATTATTTTCTATATATATATGCACGTGTGTATGACTGTATGTACATATATATCAACAAATATATAATTTTATATTGAAGTACTTTTTAAGACTAATTTATACCTATGGTCTCCATATCTATAAGATAAATATTTTAAAAATAATTAATGGTTAAAGATGTTAAAGTTTAACCTTAAATTTGTTCAAAATGACAGTCTTATAAGCCCGGTTGGAGTAAACATGCTGTTTAGGTTTTTCTCTTGTCGGACGTGCTACAGTAGTGGCCGTGGGATGGCACGACACGACGAAAACTACGGCGCAGGAGTCGGGCAAAGCTGTATGCCCAGGCCCGGCGAAAAAAAAAAGCTGTTTGCCAACGTTTACGTGTTGGGGACGGAGGTAGAGTATCCTAGAGGGTGTGCAGAAACCGGTTAAGAAATCTTTTTAGCTATATCTTATCTATTTTTAACATGTGTGAATAGTGGTGGAGCCAGGGCCAGTGACCCTGGGCAGCTGCTCAGGCTCCGCCGGCTGCAAACCATGTCCCATTATATTAATCCTAATTACCTTGCTAATCATCTTTCTTAATCACCGTATGAATTGAAGCAGCAGCAGTATATACACAGTACTACATACTTATAACGGTTTCGTGTAAAATAGCAAAGCATATGCTAACTCTAAAATGATCTACAGATCTATATACACTGGTGGAGAAACTATCTTTGGTCGGTCGGCCAAATTCCACAATAGTCCTGATTCTAATAAAAACCGGGACTAAAAAGCATCTTTTGTCCCGGTTTAAAAGTTGAAGGGCACTTTTTGATCTTTAGTCCCGGTTGGTGGTAACACCAACCGGGACTAAAGATCATTTTTAGTCCCGGTTCAAGAAGTTGTCAGGTTTAAAACAGATCCCAATTATTTTTACTACCGGTTGGTATAAACAACCGGGACTAAAAATAGATCTTTAGTCCCGGTTGTTTATACCAACCGGGAGTAAAGAGTAACCCAAGCCGCTGCCATCTCGATAATATCCGCGCACAGACCTCTCGATCTCCTCCCCTCTCATTAACTCCTCCATCCCTTCCTCTCCCCTTCCCCTCTGTTCGTTCCTCCCCTTCCCCTCCCCTTCCCCTCTCTGTATTCCTCCTGTTCCTCCCCTTCCCCTCTCTGTATTCTTCTGTAGCTGCGGCCGAGCGGGAGCGGCGGCGCCCGGGCGGGTGGGCGCGGCGGCCGGGCGGGCGGGCGGGCGCGGCGGCGCCCGGGCGGGCAGGAGGGCGGGCGTGGCGGGCAGGAGGGCATGCGCGGCGGAGGCCGAGCGGGCGGCGCGGCTGTCGGGCTGTCGCGGCGGGCAGGAGGGCGTGCGCGGCGGAGGCCGAGCTGGCGCGGGGTGGAGGCCGGGCTGGCGCGGCGGCAGCCGGGCGGGCGGGGCGGAGGCCGGGCTGGCGCGGCGGCAGCCGGGCGGGCGCGGCGGAGGCCAAGCTGGCGCGGAGGCCGAGAGGATGGAGACCAGGAGGCCGGCAACGCCCTCTCATCTGCTGCCGGATTTTTTTTTAATTTGTGATTTTTTTTTGAATTTGTGATTCATTGGATTTGATCTGTGATGTATGTGATATTGGATCTGATCTGTGATGTATTTGAGTTGTGATGTATTTCTTTTAGGATTTGTGATATATTTTTTGTTTGAGATTTTGTGATGTGATGTATTTGTAATCTGTGATGCATTTCTTCCAGATCTGTGATGCTACTTTGATTTGTGGATGATTTGGGGATATGATTAGTGATATTTTGGAAGTAGATCGATTTGAGCAAAAAAAAAAATCAACCGGACTGCTCCCACCATCTTTAGTCCCGGTTGGTATTACCAACCGGGGCTAAAGATGGATTTTTAGTCCCGGTTATTTCACCCGGGACTAAAGATACCCATCTTTAGTCCCGGATTCGTAGTCCCGGTTGTATAACCGGGACTATAGGGGGGCTCCCAACCGGGAGTAAAGCCCCTTTCTCCACCAGTGATAGTCTTATGTATACTATATTTGTTGTTAAACTTGCCCAGGCTCACGAAAGTTTCTGGATCCGCCATTGTGTGTGCGCCCTCTTCAATACAAACTTAGGCATCCATGTGAGTTTAAACTCGATGTAAAGTAGAGTAAATTAAGTAAAGTGGCACCCTTTTATATTTCGTTCTAGCTCCATCCCTTTTGGTCGACTATAATAAGGCTGCGTTCGGGAGGAGGGGTTGCCCTCCTCCCCGACACGCAAAACGGAGCATGCATTATTGCATAATTAATTCAGTATTAACTTTTATTAAAAAAATGGATTAGTATGATTTTTTAAAACAACTTTCGTATATAATTTTTTTTTGCAAAAAAACACACTGTTTAGCAGTTTGAAAAACGTGCTTGTGAAAAATGAGAGATATGAGTTGGGAAAAGGGAGAGGGGGGAGGACACAGCCTAAGAGAAGAAAACATAGGGAAGCTGTCGCATGTCATTACGCGGGGCCAAAAAGGCTATTTCTCGGCTCGCACTCTGTTTTGTGTTCACAATGTTCGAGTTACCACTGAAAACAATCGGAAATGGTACTATTTTCTTACTACTCTTATGAAAACCGTTCGGAATTGTTTATATTTATATTAATTATACGTAATGTTTTCTGAATTAAATTTTAAAAATGATACTCCCTCTGTCCCAAAATAACTGTAGTTTTACACTATTCACGTTCAATGTTTGACCGTTCGTTTTATTTAAAAAAATTTTATGATTAGTATTTTTATTGCTATTAGATGATAAAACATGAATAGTACTTTATGTGTGACTAAATATTTTCAAATTTTTCACATAAGACGGATGGTCAAACGTTGGGCACGGATATTCATGACTGCACTTATTTTGAGACGGAGGTAGTAATAATCAGTAAATATATTATTATTTTTTTAGATAATGGAATAGAATCCTAGTCTTTGCTCAATGAGCTACAGTCAATTATTATACCGATTCATGCAAATAAAAATGTATGACAAAAAAAAAATCATAAAAACACATGTCTAAAAGGACATGAAAGTAGTAGTTGTGTGGAAACGGTATTGGTATAGCCGGGTAATTTGAGTGTCTTCGCTCATTTATTCAGCAATGTAGACATGTAATTATAATGGCAGCCACCTGCAGAGCAACCTCTTCTTAATTGGAACCTGTGAGCCTGAGACATGTCATCTTGCGGGGTAGCGCCGCGGAACCTGGTGTAAAGCATGTCCGTGAGATCACACAAGAATCTTGGCCAAAAATTTTAAAACATGTTATAAATTATAAATGCAGGTATACTCATCCGCCCTCACTAAATTTTATGAATCATATATGCACACAATATTCCTATAAACACTTTGAAGAGACTAGGAACTATGAACATATATATCTTGTCACTATGAACTTCTCAAAATTAACGGATATGTTTTGTATACCACCGAAATAATATTATCCATGTTAAGTCTAGAAATTAAACCCAATAAGTAGGATCAACCAAAAGGAACCTAACTACACTTTCTGCAGGCCCCTTTGAAACAAAGCAAAAACATAAGAATTCCAAAGGATTTATACCTCATGGTAAAAAAAAATTCCTACGAGACCCCCTGAAACAAAGAATTGATTCCTATCCATTCCTTTTAAATTCCTATAAAATATTGTACACGAATTTTCGAGAAAAAAATTAGCATAAGATCTTACCTCATGTTTCTTCTTCCCGTGTCTTGAATTTCTACGTTTTTGCTATGTGACTATCAAACGGTAGTTTTGAAACTTTCCGGTGCTTTCAAATACCATAGTAATCCAATAAAGATTCTTTTAGAGAAGGGTATTTTTTTTACCCGGCCTCTATATCCAACCGGATATATGCAGCCTTTTAAATTAAGAACTTAGCCCCTCAAACATGATATTCTATTCATGCGTTTTTCCTATTTTTGTTTTTTAACAATCATGCGTTTTAAAGGGGCACTCAGTATCTATTGTAATGAGGGCAGAAAAGATAAAGGCAGGGAGGAACCTGGAGACTCAAACAACAAAAGGTACTTTTCAGGGCAACGTATTGGCTCCGGTGTTGGGTTCAATTACAAAGGTGTGAAGAAGATATCAGCCTAATTAATGATGCATGTCGTAAACTTGAGTCAACGATTATGCAACTCTTCGCCAACTTCGAATAGAGGTTCTTAAATAGAATTCAATAGTTATGGGATCTTTATCTTGTGTTGGTGTTTATTAGTTTGGGGTTGTTTAAAATTTTCATTATGTGGTTCTGGATTCACTGTGAGTTTGCTATTGTGTGAACTATGTAATAATTGGTTGTAACTCGTTTAAGCAAAGGCCGGGATATTTTATTCCATTATCTAAAAAAAACTCAGCATCTATTGTAATCGACCGAACCTGTAACACTTCTCATTTTGGCCCTGTTCTTTCCTGTTTTTCCTTCAGATCTTTATCACGGATTATTTGTTACAAGTATAATCAAACAACAAGAACTAAGTATATCAAAGGGGTGAATGGTAGGAACACCAAGAACTGAAAACTTTAAGCGGAATTAAAAGTTACCCTCGAAAACGATGGAGATTAGTCTGACCGGTCTAACTGCCCGCTCTTACCTCTGATTTGACTGGTGTAGATCGGCCAGTCCGACTGCCCTTCGCGTCATCGTCGCTTGTCGCTTTTGCCGGCCCAACCGCCTAGAAGTCGCTAGTCTGACCGCTTTATTGCTGCCAGTCAAACTGTCATTATCTCGCCGGTGTGACCGCGTAAGAAAAAATAAATCGAAGAACTCTTAAAAGTAAATTCAATTTTATTAATTCTATTCGTGTTTACAAAGTGCAACAATAGCACTCATCTCTCAAAATTCAATTAAACTCGAAACCCTAACTTCTTCTCTCAACTCACTCTAAAAAAATCGATACCAAGAGGTTTCAACCCTCTCTTCTATTTATACCCGAGGTAGGCAGCCTAAAAGTCACGAATCTAACTTGTACAAGTAGTCCTAATCTATTGGAAAATCTTCCTATGTAGGAAACAAACTTAACAAACTCCAATCTTCTCAAATTTGGACTCTTTCCAAATTCGACTCTGCTTTCCATATGCACACAATCTTCCATCTTATGCCGCATGGAATTTCCATTAACCACGTGCATTGTTCTTTAGTTTAAGCATCCCACATGATATCCCTATCGTCCGGACGTTATTTTCTCCCATGTTGACTCCCAATTCATCACCGACAATACTCTTCTGATGCATCAAGATACATATACGCATGAATCAAACAATAAACCATATCCGAGCAAAAATTTCTATCTACATTAGCACACAACAGTATTACACATGTATAGAAATCATCTAAAAGTCATAATCATGAGTATCCAAATTAACAACCCAAAACCGATACCAACATACGGTCGATTGGTCAGACTGTCGAGCTAGCATACTGACCGCACACACCATGCCAATATGAGGGCCTATCTTGTTCGGTCTTACCAGCTCCATACAGAGAGGACAACCATTTCACCAATTATCAAAACCAATTGTCTATCATGCCAATTGTTCATCATAAATTAATAATCGAACACAATTTGATTTCACATTGCACTATTCTAAAAATACAATTTCTCAAAAAAAGAAAAACTTTTATCTTCTACTACATTGATTAAACCACTTATTATAAAAGTTATTTGCAAAGTTTGTTTTGTGAAATATTAATTGATCACCTTAATCAAACATCAATCATCGAGGAAACAAATTGTCTCAAATGGGGATAATACTTTGGATTAATTGTAGAAGAGGAATGGATATTAAACCCTAATATATAACGCCACTTTACATTTCCAACTCTTATGAAAGTTTACAATTCATCCCTAAAGTTTGGAACAAAAAATTATTTAACCCTAAACTTTGTATATACCATTTTCAGTTCATCATTTGACCAACTTGAAAGTTGCAGCCACTTTTTGCTGCTCCTGTTTTTAGGAGCATGCGATTTATCCAAATAATAAATACATGTTCAAAAGTTAATATCATCGTATATTTCAAAACAAGGAGTATCTTATAAGAGCAGGTACAATAACAGGGTATAAACCAGCTATAAACACATTTCAATGAGATAAAAGAGAAGAGAGAGGAGAAGCGGGCTAAAGATTTGTAGCCAGCTGCAGCACGGACTCCAAAATACGTGTGTGTATGACAGGTGAGATAAGATATTAATTATGTAATATATGTTTATAGATAACTATTGTACGAATTAGTTATTAAATTGGTTATAGATGATTTAGAGACGACAATTGGCTATACTATTAAACTTGTTGTAAGGGCTGATATATTATATTGCAACCATTTGTTTACATCCATGCTTGAGATTTGTGCAAGATAATGCTTGTTTTTTTACAGTGCTAGCTACATTGTAGAGCGCGCGGAGCACTGGTTGCGTTTAGAACAGTAAATTAATAAGCAAGATGAATATATGTATATAGTCACTGTACAGATCCAGCTTGAATTTCTAAGGCAAATTTCACAGCATCATTTGTACCGTGTGGCAGTAAATTTAAGCCATTCATCGTAAATCCAACCGGTTTATGTACAAATCCAGTAAATTTAATTCCGTACTCTCTGTAGCTCTCTGCAGAAGATCCAAATCTGCACGTACTCCCTCTCTCCCAAACTTAATTTTTGGGTTCCATGTCCAACGTTTGACTATCCGTCTTATATAAAATTTTTTATGATTAGTATTTTATTATTGTTAGATGATAAAACATGAATAATACTTTATGCATGACTTATCTTTTTAATTTTTTTAATTTTTTTTAAATAAAACAGACGGTCAAATGTTAAACATGTAAACTCAGAAATTGAGTTTTTTTTTTGGGACAGAGAGAGTAGTTGGTGGGCACGTAGTACGGAGTACTAGATTAATTACTGTAGTAGATTATTTTGGAAATGGCCCACTTTCCGTTTGATAAGCAAAGGTAACTCAGCGTGTTCAGCCCTGCCACTTCCTTGGAACGTTGAAACCGAGTCAAAAAAGTATAAATTCTGCCGCCGACAATTAAATACTCCCATAAAATTTGGACGATACTATCGAGCAAGAATATATAGGTCTACTTCTGCGACGAGCAAGATCTACCAATAACGTTATTATTGTCTTTTCTCCGTCCCCAAATATAAAGTTTTACAGTCAGATACGGTTATTAAGAAAGTTGGTAGAAGTGAATGGTGAAGGGTTTTGATTGGATGAATAGTGGAAGTAGGTGGTAAAAAATGAATGGTGGAGGGTTATGATTGGTTGGGAAGAGAATATTGGTGGAGAAGTTATTGTATTTTGGAACAAATCCTAAGGGCTAAAAGTTGTTATATTTTGGAACGGAGTGAGTACATGTTAGTTAAAGGTACAACTTCTAGGATCCTGTTTAGCATAGCTCCAGCTCAGCCAAATAGTTTAAGCTCCGCCTAAAAGGAGCGGAGTTAGGTGGAGCGCTCTCACAAAATAAACTAGAAATATAGAGCTAGGTTTTGGCTGCTTCACAACTCTACTCCAAACCCAACTCCTGAAGCTAAATTTAGGAGTTGGAGCTCTACCAAATATGAAATTCCTAATGAGCGATCAATCGCTGCCAGCAATCGTTTTTTTTCCTTTTTATTTTTATACACCTAAAATTTACACATCTAAAAATTTATCCACCTAAAGTTTGTAAAGCGAATGTTTATAAATCAAAAGTTTATATACCCGATTCAAATTCAAATTCGAATTCAAATATTTTATATTTTTCCTCTTTTAGTAAGTTTATACACCTAAAGTTTACACATCTAAAGTTTATCCACCTAAAGTTTGTAGAGCGAATGTTTATAAGTCAAAAGTTTATATACCCGATTCAAATTCAAATTTGGATTCAAATATTTTATATATAAAATATTTCTGTACATAAAATTTATGCGTGCAAAGCTTACGGTATAAAGTCTATGCACATGAATGAGAGTATTAGATTTTTTTTCTAAATTTTTTGAGTGACATGCAACCAACGAGAGAGTATCCCCTTGAGAGTTTAGAATATTTTACCATAAATGTAATGACTTTTAATTATGAACCGTTACATATGATTCTCGCCACATCTGTAGAATAGACGTTACAGATACTCTCCATCCCAAAATATAAGAATTAATTTAGTATTCAATGAAACATATTCTATTACTGTAAATCTGGACAGACTTCTATCTAAATTTATGACAGAAGAATAAATCACATTCAATATTATATTCTTATATTTTATGACGGATCAGTAGTTATTACTTTCATTTGTTAGCCTCTACTGATATTTAGCTGTGATATATATACACAGCCATTACTGATATTGTTATCTGGAGTACTACAACGGATCTCTTTGAGCGGTTACAAATGACCCGTCAGAGAGACGTGATGTTTGCTTCGCGCGCGCACCACTGATTTCTTCTTCAGTCGAGTAAGAGCAAAGAGCGCGACCGATAGGCATAATTGTAAGCTCCAATAATTGCCACAAACGACGTACTCCCTCTGTCTAGTGGCACAGAGCTAGGATTTCAAACTTAGGTATTCAATTCCCATCTAACAAAAAAAAGTTCATAGTAAAAAAATCAATGGTTCACAATATGTCAATACCGATAATCGAAAAAATAAAACTACAAATTATTACATGGTATCTCTAATTTTTTATTTCGGTTTTTTCATAGCTTGTAAGAGTAGTTTTAATTATGCGTTCCTTCATGACTTGAAAGTGGTTTATAATATCACGGTACTTGACTTTCAAAACATCTCACGCTCAATAAATGCGACCAAGCAATCATTCAAGTATTGATCCCTAGTCTGTTTCTTAATTTATTTTTTACATAATTCATGGCAGAAAAGATTATTTCAACACTAATTGTTGCTACTGGAACTACTAGAACCAATTTGAGAAGCTTGCAAACAATCTCATGTCTATTGTGCAACTTTGTTTCAACGATCATAATGGAAAAATTAGCAAGATTTTTCACCTTTCTAAACCTTTCATCTATACGCATCTCAGTGAGGAAGAGTACTTGGCTAACTAATATGTGTACATTTGTATATATTGAAGTATACTTGTTTCTTGATTAAAAAAGTTGGGTACTTCTAGGAATACATAGGAATCATTGTAGCTCCGCCCCTGCCTCCATCCCAAAATAAAACTCAATCTAGAAGGAGATGTGAGGGGATATGACCCCCCCACATTCTCTCCTAGAACAACGAATCTGGACTATCCTTAGGCTGTGTTTAGTTCTATGTCAAAATTGGAAGTTTGACTAAAATTGAAAGTTTAAAGAAAAAAGTTAGAAGTTTATGTGTATATGAAAGTTTTGATGTGATGGAAAAGTTGGAAGTTTTAAGAAAAAGTTAAGAACTAAACTAGGCTTTAGTCCAAATTTTTATCCAGATTCGTTGTCTCATGAGATATCACATCTTTTTCTAAATTGAATTTTTCCTGGACGAAGGGAGAGCTAGAACGGTATGACGCACGCCTATTACGCTGTATTGATCTGCAGGTTCATTATATCGATTCGTATATATTAGAGCTAGCTAGCTGCTGCCGCTCGTAGGGACGACGGACATGGCGGCCGCGCACGTGCTCGTCTTCCCGTGGCCGGTGCAGGGCCACATCAACTGCATGCTCCACTTCGCCACCGGCCTCCTCCGAGCAGGCCTCCACGTCACCTTCCTCCACAGCGACCACACCCTCCCCGCCGCCGGCGACGACGACGACGACGCGCTGGCCGCCGCCTCGCCGCGGCTCCGTTACGCGTCCATCCCCGACGGCCTCCCCGACGGCCACCCACGCCACGCGGGCGCAGCCGTGCGGCTCATGGAGTCCGTGCAGACACAGTCCAGCGCGTACCGCTCCCTGCTCGCGGAGCTGGCTCGTGGTGATGGCGATGGCGGCGGCTTCCCTCCGGTGACCTGCGTCGTCGCCGATGGCCTCTTGCCGTTCGCGGTTGATGTCGCCGAGGAGCTCGGCGTCCCGGCGCTCAGCTTCCGCACGGCGAGCGCGTGCAGCTTCCTCGCCTACCTGTCCGTGCCCAGGCTGTTCGAGCTCGGCGAGCTCCCCTTCCCGGCCGGTGGCGACCTCGACGAGCCGGTGCGCGGCGTCCCGGGCATGGAGAGCTTCCTGCGCCGGCGGGATCTTCCAGGCCAGTGCCGCAACTGCACCGAGCTTCAGAACGACCCGCTGCTGGAGATGGTGATCGATTTCACGGCGCGCAGCCGGCACGCGCGGGCGCTCGTGCTGAACACGGCGGCGTCCATGGAGCGCGCCGCGCTCGACCACATCGCGCGCAACATGCGCGACGTCTTCGCCGTCGGACCGCTCCACGTCATGTCCCCGGCGCCGGCCGCCGCCTTGGCCAGCCAGTGGAGGGAGGACGACGGCTGCATGGCGTGGCTGGACGGCCAGGCGGACCGGTCCGTCGTGTACGTCAGCCTGGGGAGCCTCACCGTCATCTCGCCGGAGCAGTTCACGGAGTTCCTGTCCGGGCTCGTCGCCGCCGGCCACCCGTTCCTCTGGGTGCTCCGGCCGGACATGGTCACGGCGAGGCTGCAGCACGCCGACCTCCAAGAAGCCGTCGTGGCGGCGGCGGCGGGAGACAGCAAGGCGCGCGTCGTGCGGTGGGCGCCGCAGCGGGACGTGCTGCGGCACCGCGCCGTGGGGTGCTTCCTGACGCACGCCGGCTGGAACTCGACGCTGGAGGCTGCCGTCGAGGGCGTGCCGACGGTGTGCTGGCCGTTCTTCGTCGACCAGCAGATCAACAGCAGGCTCGTCGGCGCCGTGTGGAGGACGGGGCTGGACATGAAGGACGTGTGCGACGCCGCCGTCTTGGCGAGGATGGTGAGGGAGGCGATGGAGTCCGGCGAGATCAGGGCGTCGGCACAAGCTCTGTCGCAGCAGTTGGGACGGGACGTCGCCGACGGCGGCTCGTCGGCGACGGAGTTCAAGAGGCTCATCGCGTTCATCGAGCAGCTGAGCACGACGGCCCAGAACGGCGGCTGCAGCGATGGAGGATGAAGGTACAAAAAAAAGAAATGCTATAGCTAGTAGCTCACCCTTATGTTGAACTCATGAATTCTGATTTCACACAATGTAATACGAACATCTTTTTTTTTCCAGTTTGTGTTAGTATCCTTTTGGTTTTGATTTGGTCAGAGTCTGATGATGTAATCTTTCAAACATGTAAGGCTTCATAGCAGCCATCACATCATCAGTTGCGAGAAATTTGCTGGTTACCGGATTTGCTAAGCAAACAAATGTTAGTAATGATGTGATATTGTGATTTCCTTTTTCTTTTTCTTTCTCCTGATTGGACTAGTTGCGCGATCTTGAGCTAGCCACCGAATGAGGCGGTCACCCTAACAGAACGGCTGTGTTTAGTAAGACAAACTATGGAGTAGGTTTGGTGCGATTCATGTCGATTCATGCAGATGATACGATTCTGATTTAGTGTCAGTTGATAGTAATTTAAATATTCAAATCACATGAGACAGATGTTTGCCTCCTCCACTATCCACCCCTATAGATGGGCATATGGCCCGAAGCTCGACGGCCCGCCCAAGGCACGGCAATTTGGCCCGGCCCAAACACGGCATGGCCCGACTGGGGTCGTGCCTATGTTGGCCTGGCCCGATAGCCGGGCCGTGCCTAGGCTACTCCCTCGGCACAGTGGGCCGGCACGGCCCAGCATGACCAAAGAAAAATAGTTGGGGGATCTATTATAGACTTAATTCAGCCATTTGAGATACAACCCAAAGACATGAGGTATACCAAATAGACTTATTTCAGCCATATAATACACAAACCAAAGAGACAAGGGAGAAAAAATAGACTTATTCTAGCCATAGAAGACATAGCCAAGATAGATGAGGGAGTATAGACTTATTTAATAGAGAAGCACAACAGGCTATCGTGCCTTTGGGCCAACACGGCACGACCCGAGTGCTAGTGGGCCATGCCTGAGCCTGATGTGTAGCCCGTGGGTTGGCACGGCACGGCACGAAGTGCCAATCATGCTGTGCTGGCCCGACTGCCCTCAGCACAGGCCCAATTGTGCTTGGGCCCTGTTGTGCCGAGCGGCCCATTTGGCCTTCTATGTCCACCCCTTACCGAGACATTATTGAAAATAGACTGCTAACCATATACTACTCGCTCTATCTAATACTATATATAGTAGTAAAGTCTATTTCTCGCCTCACAAAACTTACTCCAAAACAGTCAGATTTATACTATAATTTCATTATACTTTAATTACACTCTAATTATATTATACTTATACATTCTAGTTACATTTGTAGAATTGTAGTTAAAGTATAACTTGCGTGTAACTAGGGTGTAATCATCTGTCAGACTGTTGACAGATGCAGGCATCCAACGGGTAAACAGCAAGGAGCACCTTCGGATCTGCCGCCGCTAACCTCCCCACCATCGGATTTGCCGTCGCGAGCCCCCCACCTCCAGATCCGCCGCCACCGAATTCTCTACCTCTGGATCTGCTACTGCTGCCGTTGCCCGAGTTGCCTACCATCGCTCGAGCCCGTCGTTGTTGCCCATCGCAGGCATTCTGAGGGCGGTGGATCCGGCAACGCCGCCATCGGGAGAGCCGGATCTGCCGCCCGCTGCAGCTGCTCCCGAGGACAGGGGCGCTAGATCCGCCGCCCTCACTGCCTGTCGTCGCTGTTGGCTCTCGTCGTGCAAGCGCCACCGCGCACCGCTCGGGAGGGGGAGGTGAGGGAGAGACAAAGGAAGAGAGGAAATGAGAGGGGGAGGTAACTTAGAAATTTTTTAAGATGGTGAGGGGTAAGGGGAGGACGGTTAGACATGTATGCGGGCTTTTAAGAGGCCTGTCTGAAAAATCAATTTTCACATGCTACCGCTTAAGAGATCCGTCTGTGAAAATAGATTTATTTTAGCATGCGGGCTTGTTAAGAGACCCATTTACAAAAATTGATTTTTGCATGGGGTTTTATAAGGGGCCGTATGCGAAAATAGAGTCTGTATACAGAAATTTATGTAGTAGTTTATTTTTTTCAGATCTTTTTGCGCCTACACAAATAAAATACTATAAATTCAGTTTCATGGTCCTTAAATTCTCGACTTTTACAAGCCCTTACAAGAGGTTCGAAAAAGGGCCATATAAAAGGTCGCCCAAAAAATGTTTTCAGTATCGGTGTTGGTATCGTTATAAAATATTCCCATATAGAAATTAACACATACAGCATGTGTCATGTTTCGTAACACACCAACCCACGAGTTACAAAGAAATGGATGGCATTTTTAATCATGTGATGTTTAATTGTTCCTTCTACACTGCTGGGCAGCTTATTATATATAATCTCTGCTTCTCAAAAGCGACAACATAATGATCTTATTCACACACACTCACTCGCGCGCACACACAGACATAGCTCGATTGGTGATATTTTCTGCGTCTGGTAGATCAGCTTGATCGACCGATTTTGTTTTGTTGGGCTTACACTACTTTTTGTGGGCATACTTCATAACGCCAGGTATGTGGCTGTTGTACAGATAGTACTCCCAGTCAATGGACTTGGGATCAAAATTAAGCACACAGGCTTCTTTGCTCTGGTCTTGAGTTGTCGCCGTCTGCAGTCTTGCCAAGTTTGTGCCATTGAAGCTACGCGTGCGCATGAAAAACAAAAGAATGATAAGAAGATTGACAATGAAAATCAGAGCTATTTCTAATTTACTGTAGAATGATTTGCTTTCAAATTTCACACCTAAACTTTCACTTGTAAATTGACATTTTTTTCTCTACGAACATGTGATTCTTTGGGTACTGATCGACATGGCACCAAAAAGTACTGATCAACTTGGCACTTAAAAGACAAATTAAACCAGTAATTTCTATACTACTATATCTGCAAAAACCATATAATTAATTAAGTTACTTTTAGAGAATATATATCTATTGATCATCTTATTTGTCTGTCAAACATGTTGATATCTGAAAATTATAAAAGCCTGCATTATAAGTATGCCTGTAACTTTTTTATTCAAATGGGTTAATCAATTAATAACTGGGTAGCATAAGGAAGCAATATGTAAAACATATTTATTATTTGCTCACATAATAACTTTGTTATGTCATGATTTATCTTCTAGCTATCTACCTAGCACTAGCAGCAGAAAAGAAAAGGTTGTGAAATAATATACCAGGCGTTGAAGAAAGCATATGGCATGTATAACTTGGCCAGAAGAACGAAATATCTGTAGCTTCTTATGGATTTATTGTAATACTGAGAAAAATATCCACCCAATAGTGGATTCACCAAATGCAGAACCTGGGTAACAAAGGATCGATATAGTCAAGTCATGCACCGGCCGGATTCATGTGTTAGCCATATATTGAGATTAAAACTGCTATAAATTATATTTTACACCGGGTAAAATGTATCTTGTTTCACTTTAAACTGGGTTTACTGCATACTTTCACTTTTACAACAGAGATATCAAAATAATTTTCACTTAATTTGCACTAGATTGCATCATATAAGTGAATGAAAATCTTATAAACCATGACCGAAACTTATGAAACTATTTAAATTTAAACCACATTTCACAAAGTTTCATCAACAATTTATAAAATTTGATGAAATTTCGATAGGTTAATTAATTTGATAATGCAGCCTGGTCATGGTTTAAATTTAAATAGTCTAACTGGAAATATGTGTTAAATCTGATGCAAAGTGAAACTAGTTATGCTTTACCCGGTGCAAAGTGTAATTTACTCGTTATATTTGTTAGAAAAAAAAAGAGCCTGGTGTGATCTAAAAGACAAAAAGAGTCTGACCTCTAAAGGTAGCTTGTATTTAAGAAACATGTATGCTCGGAAACCTGTTTTATTGGTAATGTTGAGCCTTTTGGTTTTGACGACTTTTCCGTTCTTTCCCATTGTCTGTGGATTAGCAGTAAAATAGCGATACATCAAGTCCAGCATGGTAGAGGTTGACAACGGGTTCTGCTGGGATGATGTCACATGGATGATAACTTGGCCTCTCTCACTCCAGTGAACGGCCATGGCTACCAACATCGCATTCACCACCATATCACCGGGAATCTATATATTTAAATAGAACACGACGTTGTTTATAAGCTTATTGAATTCGATCTAGAAGAGAGGGAATTAATTAAAATGAGTAAATTTCAGAAAAAAAAACAAAGGTATTATGATTTGTTGCATATACCTTATGTATTATAGTTCAAACGTTTTACAAAACCCCATCATTGTACATGTTGAGCGTGAATTTACTTATAATTCTAAAATATATACGGAAATTTTAATTATTAAGTTTTTGACTAAGGATGATAAGGTTCATAGTTTAACTCTTTGCTACTTTGAAACAATATTTCAAGTATGTCAAAATTAATCAATATTTTAATAAAGGTGGTGTTTTACAAAACATATAGACAAAAGAAAAACATATGGTTACATGCCATAATACCTGTGCTTTTATGCACTTTTATCATAAAACACGGGTTTTCCTCAAATTTACTCAATTAAAATTAATAGCACATCTGTTTTTATATATGATACCATTACTTTTCACATTATGTTTAAGCATTCTTCTTATTTAAAAATTTAATGTAAATATCTAAAAATATAAGTTAATGTCAGAGTTTGTTTGATGATAACACAAGTCACTAAAATGCAATATTTATATAATTGTTTAATAAAACAAATGGTTGAAAATCAATAAAAAATAATGTCGTTGTATATTAAAAAAAGGAGTATTTGTTGGGCATTACTGTAGTTCTTACCACATCAAGGATGACATGACCAGCACCGATGAAATGTGGAATAGTTTGCTTGGCGTAAGCAGAAATTATACTGTCAATTGTCCTACAAAAGACACGCATAACATATTTTTGGTCATGTAGAGTTACTAATTATGTAAACATAATTTGCGGTTTGGTGAACCAGTTATTAGAGTATATTTCTATTAATAAATATGAGGTATACCTAGTTCCTTCTATCCACCCAGGGAGCGGATCATGGTAAATGCTGGATACAATACTTGGGCGAATAATCACAACCGGAAGTTCACGCCCAAAGTGTCCAACTAGCATCTCACCCATTGCCTTTGTGAACACATACGTGTTGGGCCACCCAAATTGTCTAGCTCTTAACAAAAAGAACAAGTTTCACATGTCAGTATTAAATGCCAAAGAAAAAAATTAATATCCTTGCTTACATATATATATAAAAATTCAACTGTTATATATATTTTTAGACCTCTTCAATCCAAGTTTCTTCATGGTTATCTTTTCTGTTTGCTCCGATTTACCATTGGTGGAGTGCGTAAGTTCTGCCTTGACAGACTCAACCAATTGTAATTCAGCTGCAATGTCTAAATGGCATCCTTCCTTCAGTGTTTCCCCAATCTGAAATACCTTCTCCAATAAAAGTCCTTCTTGCTCTCCAGATACAAATGCTGTTCAGTCAAAAACATTCAATAGATCATAACTTTTATTCACACAAAAATTTTGCTTATATATATGTCACAGTGATTCTTGCAAGTAGTACATGCATGGTACGTTATGTATGCATGCATATTGAGGGACAAACTGATTTATACTATATTTAGTTATTTACATTGTACATACCAGTGGAAATATGGAGGAACATTTTCAGATTTGCACACTTCTTTGCAAATTTGCAAACATATTTTGCTCCTAAGACATTGGATGCCAAGGAAACATCATATCTGCATGCATTTTAATAAATATAAGTTGAATTACCAAAATTTATTGGCTTTTCCTCTTTTGTGGATAATATTCACTGTTGATGAAATGTTTACCTTTCATAAAAATTTGTTGTTGCAGCTCCATTAACAATGATATCAATCTCCTTTGACAATTTTAATATTTCCAAGCTCTCAAGGCCTAAATTCTCATTAATGATATCTCCGGCTAAAGGTGATATCTTTTCCTTCATGAAGCTATAGAAATTAGATCCATAGTTTTCTCGCAAGGGCCCAAAGAGTTCGTTCCCTATAACCTACAGGAAAAACATTACAATCTTAGTACTTGATGACTACTTAAATAATTTTTTACAGGGTCAGATAAAAGGGTCCAAAGAAAGGGAATTGAATTTTAAGTAGTCCTCGATGGTATAGGTTCTTGTTAGTTCCATCTAGTCAAAATAGTCATGACAAATGAGGGGCAAAATTAGATATATATTTGTTCATAATTAATAACTCATTAGTTTATATATGTTCATAATTAAGATATATATAAGTAATTAGCTAGGCTACCATAAGGGGTTCTTTATCAAGATGCCCCTTTTTTTTCGGGGAAAGATGCCCTTTTTTGAGAGGCTAAATCCCAAGTCAAAAGTTAGAATACGCTATAAAAGGAGACAAACCCTGTTCTCCAAAGTACTTTCATAGAGACGTGCGACCGCGCGTTGTACGCGTCATGCAAACGGTTGGACCTCACATAGATCCCATATGCGCTAGACTTTTAGACGTATGTATCTCTATTCACAAACTTTATTTAAAAAAAATTCTCTAATTGGAAACTAATTTTTTTAAAAAAATTCTCTAACGAGAGCACATGACAGGTTTGATGGTCATAACTAATTTGAGCCGATTCAGGATGTCCTTGGAACAATCCGCAACCTCCAGAACCAATCCGTACTATATCAACAATTGGAGGATCTCGTCTTCCAACTCCAGTTCACTCTCAATGCAGGCATCGCATCCATGCATCAAGTTGGTCCCAGTTTAATTCATGTAAATCACGATTTCTAATTCCGCTTTATTGACACCTATTCTTGATTAATCAGAGATTAATTTGAATAAGATCCTATAATAATTTTCGTTCTTAGCACTAACAAACTAAGACTAATTAAACGGCCACAGTACAAGTGTCCTAGGAAGAACCAAAACGATCACACTACGCCAGATCAGCCCTGATTGGTTAAACTGGAGGCTGTTAATTCTACTAATCAAAGAAAAAAAAATAGGACCAGTAATTCTCTACAGGAAACCATCAGCTTGGAGTAGTAATTAATTAAGCACCTCATTCAGCACACGCTGCTCCGCGGATGATGTATCGGCGGCCCTCACCAGGAGAAAAATCTTCTTCACATCAGGCTGAATTCTCAGTATCTTCTCCACGAATACTGCAGCGTATGTCCAAGAAAATCAGACAGAACATGGCGGATTAATTAACCAACAAATGAAATTAAAACAATTAATCATCGTGATGACATAGATATGAATGAACAAAAAATAACATATAAATATAACATGTAAATGAACTTGTTTATGCCAAAGAAGTTGATGTATAAGTTAGACTTGATTTGAGTGTGTGTAGAAGTTCTTTCTATATGAAATGTGTGGTTTTAAGTTGTACTGCAAGTTTAAAATGCTTTATGGGTTGTTGGGTGTAGGAGTACTTTTTCCAAGAAATCCAGTTGAGCCAGTGATCAAAATGCTCTTGTCCTTGAAATATCCTGCAACTGTAGCCGCGTCCATATTGCTCTCGTTACTCTTCTCACTGTTGCTATATATGCAAGAGAGATCGATCCAGGAGCTAGTAGCTACAATGTTAATAAAGTGAAGTAACCCAGCTGGCTATAGCTTGTGTTGCGCACCTCGAAAGACAGTGGATGGCTGTATTTATAGGCTCGTATGCCCTTTCATGAAACAAATGATACAGCATATTTTTCTTTTATTCCGAATATTGATACAAATTTTTTACCAACTGACTATTCAGAGTCAGGACAGACAGTTAGTTTGATTGGGACTACGTAGCAAAAACCTTGGAACCTAGCTTACTAGTAAAATTGCAGTCTACATACGTAAGCAAATGGGTCTCGTACGTTGCAATTAGTATGACTGTTTCTTTTCCATCGGTATCACTTCGCTAATTAATCGCTATCAGATACGCAGGGTTAATTTAATTAGTTGTGTTTTTATGGATTAGGTTATATAGTATAAGATAGTTGTTGTTTTTTTTCCTTGATGCATCCATATAATATGATGATTAATTGGTAAAGGAGTGAGTATTAGATACTAAGGGGTACATGCGCGATGCCCTTAGAATTTTTTTCTCCGTCGGCCGGAATCCCACTCCAATAAGACAATCACTAAGTCGGATCGGCCCACCTGTGATAGCCCAAAGTGCTTGTTATGGATGACTTCACCAGTGGCAGGTCCAACAGAATGTCGTAATAACAGGTGAGGTCATCGTCCGAGACTCGACCTCTGTCGGGGTGCAAATGGCGGCCCGTCATATATAGGTGGCCACCTACCTGTGACGGGTGGAATTATAGCAACCATTAGACATATCCGAGACCCAATAAATACCCTCAACAACCAACTGTTTTCCATCCCAACCCTGTACACTGTTCACATTTCGGTTGGAAGGGTAGGGGCATTTTTTTTTTTGAAATTGGAGTTAAAGAAAAACTTTGATAATTGTGTGATGAAGTTTTGTGTATTTGTGTATCTTCTATCGCAGATGGAACGAAATTGGATGTACGGTAATTCTTGTAGGAACCAAGAGTATAGGGATGGGGTTGTTGAATTCATGAATATAGCGGACAATGATAAAAGAACTAGGATGAGCGAATATATGCTATGTCCATATGCAAACTGCAAAAACGAGAAGATGTTCTCTCATAGTTCAGGGGTGCAATCTCACCTGATCCATAGAGGATTTGTGGAGCATTATAGTTGTTGGACCAGGCATGGAGAGCAAGAGACACCGGATGTTGTGATTGATGAAGTACCAGATATAAGCAACGAGCCAAATTGAGATGGTATGTTTGTCCCTTCTCCATTAGGTGCTGATACCATAGATTTCGACCCTATCACAAATGTTACATGATATTGAAGAGCCAACCATAATGAGAGGGATTTTAAGAAGTTTAGCAAGTTGTGGTATATTTTGAGATGCCTTTGTATCTCGAGTGCAAGCCGAAGCACACCAAGTTATCATCTATCTTAGAACTCATGAAACTTAGGGTAAGTAATAGTCGGTCAGACAAGAGTCGCAAAACTTTTCGAGTTTCTGAATGACTTGTTGCCAGAGGGGAACGAAATAAAAGACAACATATGAAACAAATCAAGTATTATGCCCATTGGATCTGGAAGTCAGAAGAATTCATGCTTATCAAAACAACTACATATTATGTTACAAAAAGCACACCAACTTGGATGCTTTCCCTGTTTGTGGAGCTTCTAGATACATGCGAGACATTAGTGAAGATGAAGGTCGTAAGTCAAAGAGGGGTGGCCTCACAAATGTGATGTGGTATGTTCCTATGCTAAGCGCATGAAGAGAATGTTTATGAATCCTAAGCAAGCTTAGTACATTGGGATGTTGAAGAATTTAAGGTCGACGGTAAGGTAAGGCACCCAACAAATTTAGTATAGTGGTAAGGTAAGACACAATAAATAGAGAATTTACAAAGGACCCGAGAAAGCTATGTGTATGGATGTCATTAATCCATTTGATGATTTGAGTAGTTGTCATAGCACAGGGCAAATGCTTCTTGGGAACTACAAGCTTCCTCCCTGGTAGTGCTTCAAGAGGAAGTATATTATGCTTGTCATGCTCGTTCAAGGATCGAGGTAGCCTGGTAACAATATCGATATATTCATTGAACTGATAATCAATGAGAAAGGACTATATTTATACGATATCTATGAGAAGAGGTTCAGCATGCACGCGTAGACCATGAGGAAGGACTATATTTGTAACTTTGGTCCAGAATGATTATATGTGTAATTTTACCGCAAACCTGTTTTTGTCTAATATATATATATGTGTTATATTTCAATTAAAATGAAATTGCAGTGTGCGGGTAAACCTGCCAGATATTTTGAAAGGAAAGAGTATTGCCGGGGTTGCAGCGACAGCGATGGTTGCTTGGCGAGTTGCCATGCTGCTGCTACTTGTGTACTTCTACCTTACAGAAGATCTTCATTAATTCTATAAAGCAGACACTATAAATAGACAAAATACTTGGCTATACCTCTACCTCTCCCACGAGCTAGTATTGGCAAGAAACCTAGCTCATCAGTCATCACGTAAATAAATTAAAACCAACAAGTCATACGATCTCCATCCATCTCACACGATGCAGCGCGGCGCCGCCACTGCCATGCCCACGCTCTTGATGACCATCTTCCTCGTGGCTCTCGTATCCGGTGGCCGGGTAGCGTCGCAGCCGCAGCCGCAGGAGGCGCCAGCGCCGGCGCCGGAGGGCACCGGGAGCAGTAGCGGCGCCTGCACCGCCGTGCTAGCCAAGCTGGCGGACTGCGTGCAGTACGCCACCGCGGGCAGCCCGCTGAGGCAGCCGCCGGGGAGCTGCTGCACCGAGGTGGAGCGCGGCGTGAAGGACCCCGCCGCCGTCGGCTGCGTCTGCACCCTCCTCGCCGGCAACACCTACGGCCTCCCTCTCAACCTCACGCGCGCCGCTGGCCTCCCCGCCGCCTGCGGCGCCCCGCCCACCGCCCTCAGCAACTGCAATGGTACACACATGTCTTGAATGCATGTTACGTTTTCCCTTTAATTTCTTCCTGTTTTTTATATATAATCCATTCTTTTCATAATATAAGTTGTTTTGACTTTCTTTTTTATCAATCTTTGTTAAATTTAATTAAGTTTATAGAAAAAAAATAGTAATATTTGGGCCGGTTTGTTTGGCAGAGCTCTAAATCTGATACGAAATCAGAATTAATTATATTCTTTAGTCCCAGTTTCTATTCAAACGGGGACAAATGTGATTTTTGGCATCAGGGTAAAGATCAGTTCTATGGTAGTGTATAAAGATGAAAATGCATGCTTTAAATTTAAATCTCTAATTTGGTCCTCGTCGTTTTATGCAGTGCCTTCACCAAAAGGTGGAGACAGATCTGGTTCATCACCCAAGTCCACGGCCACTCCAGCCCCGATCACAATAGTCGTCTTCGTCGCCACAGTAGTAGCTGTCTTCTGCTACCTCTAAGAATTTATTGAACTTCATGATGCCATGCCAAATTACGTACCGACAACCATTTTGTACTTATAGGGGATCAACTTTTCGTCGAATTTGTGTAATTTAATTTTTTTTTGCAAAATTCATGTCTTACAGCTGTAATGTGTACTCTATTGTAATCTTGTTGTGGAATAAACTACATGATGTTCAGCAGTTGGAATAGTATTCATTGAATTGGTCGAAATGACGATATTCGATCGGTACAATTTCTGTTGAGTCAACTAGCTAGCATGGTGTTACCATGTGTGTTGCGATAGAATTTATATCTAAATAACTACAAGAATAAATTAAGAACAGTTATGGTCAAATCTAAAATATTTCTAAATTTAAATGAGAACAATTTAATCAACCATTATATATCCACAACAAATTTTTAAACAAACACGGAAAAATTTGTGAGCATAAACCAAGGGTATATAAAAATCAAGGATTTGTGCGGACGAATTCCATGACCGTCCGAGAAAATTGATTTTGATCACTGGAGGCTCTATTAAGGAACCGTGAATTTCATGATTTTGATTTTTGTATGCGCAAAAAAATCCTAAACATATACTCCCTCTATCTATCTACTTTTGATAGTAATATTTCATCTTGGCACATAGACCAAGGATAAGTAATTCTATCCATTTAAATATGCTACTAGTTATTCCTCGTAAACAAGCGATTCATTAATATTTATATTTCTCGATGCCCATGTAGCCAATCTTGTGTGGAAGAATGGAGATTAACGCATTAAATACGAGAAAGTTACTAAAAGGATATGTTGTTGGATTGAAATATACTTATCAAAAATAATTTTTTCAGATTTGAAAATATGTCTATCAAAAGTAGATGGAGGGAGTATTTTGTATCTTAGTAGATATATAAACACAAATCACATGATTCATACTAAGTATGAGTGTGCGCGGTATATAGTTTGTGACTGTGAAATGGAGGCTATTTTTTTAACTTCACCTCTCTCAAAACTTGTGTGACATATTTTTGCACATTAAATGACATCAAACAAAGAAATGATCAATCAACTACAATTCTACAAACATGTAGATCACGTTGAGAACAACAACTTTGATATAGGGCAAGATATAGGGCAAATTATTGTCCATCCGAGCTCATTTTAAAAAACTAAAAAAAATCCTTTTTTTTTGTAAAAATAGATGTGAGAGTTAGTAACGCATATTTGGGCATGTAAATAATTTCAAATAAATAAATAATCAACTATAGAGTTGTAGGTCTCATTGAGTGCAACAATTTTTATATAAAGTTTATCATCATCCGACTTCATACGAAAGAATTATAATTTTTATTTTCATATTTTAAAGGTGCAAAACTTGATTTTTACAGGCCTTCTGTATGAGAACCACTCGTAAAAAGAATATTTTAAGAGTTGCTCTTTAAGAAGTCCATCTATAAAAATCATTTCAAAGTGTGGTTATTTAATAGTCCGCTTAGAAAAACCTTTTTCCTTGATCTTAGCTAACTACTATTTTAAGTCCAATTGAGGTTAACCATAATTCTCTATGATCTTCACATTCTTTAATATTGCTAGGTCCATATTTCCTTAAATTAGTATTTTTTTAATACAATTGTTCACTTATGTCATATAGTCTCTATATGAGTATATGTTATGTAACCAATAGTGAATGTCCATACTAAAGAAAATATTAATTGGGTCATATTAAAAGAAATATTGTAAGGATTTCATATCACTTAGGTGTATCTCAATCATACTTAATATGAATTTTCTATTCTTTTTGAAAGTATGGACTTCCGAATGAAGGCATGCCCCTAATGAACCGCTTGTAAAAAAAATAGATACTAGAACTTGTAACAAATATTTATGCACCTATTTTTAAGAGCAGCTTGTTAAGAAAACCGCTCATGAATATAGATTTTTATAATTAGAAGAACTCTCCAAAAAATTATCCCATTTTTTCATGCATTTTTCTTAACAAACCACCCCCCCCAAAAAAAATCATGATTTTCACATGTGGTTCCTTAAAAACCGCCTGCGATAATAGATTTGTTTTTGCATGCGTTTTTCTTAATGACCTAGCCATAAAAATAGGTTTTCATTGACGGTTTTGTGAACCTGAGGAAGCATCGGCCATTTTAATAGGCGTTGTTCTTTTATGTCTGCTTGTGAAAAAAAATTCAAGGGAGAACTGAAAGATTATTCATGAGCTTGGAGAGGACGCGTGGGGGGTGGGGGAGGGGGTGGAGGGGGTGGTTAATAGGCAGTTTAATAGGAAATACGGAAGCTAGAGCGAGATAGGGTTGGATTGTCTGATAACGGGGTAAACAGTCCGATGTAAATAGGATTTGTTCAAATTAAGATCGGAATATCTAACCAACGTACCAGAAACACTAGCAAGCCAACACCTAAAGATCTAGATGCAACGCACAAGAAAGTAGATAACCCCAAACAACAACTAGTTTAGAGCGGCACAAAAGCAAAGCAACAAGGTGGTCAAGAGAAAGTATATCACAGAGGTTTGTGTGATAATATATTTCCCGGAGCTCAAAACTTTGAGGCAGTGGCGGAGGCAGCGTGGGGGCTGGGGGGGGGGGTCTTTTAGACCCCCCCAACCCCCTAATGAATCATTAGAGCCCCCATTAAGACCCCCCTAAAATTTAAATCCATATATCTATTGTAAGAGGGCTAAAATAGACTTTGACAGAGATTGTTAGAAGGCCCAAAAGGCTAAGGAGCCCCCACTATAATTTTATCCTAGCTTCGCCACTACTTTGAGGGGATTCTAGTCTCTCTTGAGGAGCGGACAAAGAGCTAGATCTTTTTCAACTGTTCCTCATGAGGTTGCATAAATGCACTCCTCCACTAAAGGTATCTCTTTCCTTTTAGGGACGAGATCCGGCCTTCACAAACTTTCCTTAGCTAATCACAAGTAGATTCGTGGTTAAAGAGCGATGCCTAGCCATCTTGGAAGCCTTAACCTCCAAGAGTAATAAGTACCACACAACTCTTAAATGAACCCTAGTGCTTAAAATCGACAGCAACGCACACTAGGCTCGCAAACTCCAAATCCTTAACCACACAGATCCAGGTCATAAAGAGCAAGAGACATTTGAGAGAGAGAGAAGGCACAAAAATCCAAAGCAACATAGCACAAACCTCAATTCTAAGAAAGATGTGAGTAAATGAATTGGGTAATCCATTTGAGAGAGAGAGAAGGCACAAAAATCCAAAGCAACATAGCACAAACCTCAATCCTAAGAAAGATGTGAGTAAATGAATTGGGTAATCCTAGAAGACACATTTTTACTATTATAAGTCTTCTTAGGCCAAGATGTTTCAAACCAAAGGCCAAAATATTAGCTTAAAATTTGAAATAGCCAAAATATATGAACATTTGATACCATGTTTAAATTTCAAGACAAATTTCAAATTAAAATAATTAAATCACTCTAATTTATTCGGTTTGTCCATAGCTGATAACATTAATTCACGCAAAAATAATTAAGTAAAACAATGGATGTTTAGGAAATATATCTTCCCTTGCAACGCACAGACATAATTGGCTAATTGCTAGTAATAAACAAATTAAAATAAATCAATTCTAAACAATTCTCGGTACAAATCAACATATGTGGAGATTATGGATATCCCATATCTACACGGCGATGGTATTTGGACTGAATATAGGATACCAAATATAGGTAGAATATCTTATTTGTGTCTCGGGTTTGTTTCTCAACTTGTACATCAAGGAAATACCTTGAGACTTAGTCGGTTACGACTGTATTTTATCTATATCTACATATTCCGTTAGGAATATAGATTATCTTTTGTAACACGGACTCCTTCCCATATATAAGGGGGGTCCGGGTGCCTCTAGGGGCATATGTTGATTTTCTCCAAATCATATAATCAATAAGACACTCGGCGGATTCATCCCCGGACAGGAGTAGGGTATTACTTCTTCAATAAGAAGGCCTGAACCTGTATAAATCCTTTGTCTCCAAACCCATACACTTTTCCAGCTTGATAGCCACCCCCTTTTATTATTGCCGAAATCTAGTTTCGACAGTTGGCGCGCCAGGTAGGGGTTGCGTCAAGCTTTTCGCCGATCAGTGCAATGGGTTCCGTCTCCGGCATCGACGACCTCGTCTTCCCACCCGGGCAGACGTTTCGGTTCGGCAGCCTCGACTTCGTCACCAACAACTTCGGCAAGATCTCTCTCCTTGACTCGGTGTCAGACCAGTCGGGAGAGAACCGGATTTCAGCCCCGTTTGGACTCCCAAACGCGGCTGAAAGTTACTTCAAGACCATCTCAATCGAGTTGGCTTCAAACCACTCGGGTGAGATCGCATCTTCTCCAACGTCACCAGATCAAGATGATGGGGCTTACCCACCGATCCTGATGAAGCTCCCCGACGATTTGGCGGCCGTCTCCATCACGACAGCGTCTCCATCCCGTAGGCCTAGGCGGAAGTCGGCTTCAACACCGATTTCGCCTAACTTCAGGGAAGTCGGCGTCATCCTCCAACCACTCGGCACGGTTTCGACGGATCAGCTGGATGGCTACTACAGCTCTCCCACCGTCGACTCGCGCCCCACCGACATCGTGGAGTACGACGAGTTTAGCTCTCGCTACAACGACCCGGATCTCGACGACTTCGACGGAAGCCTAGATGACAACTACACCCCTCTCTACTTCGGCGTCTTCATGGCCGATAACGAGACGGAGGAGCAACGCCAAGCCCGGGAGACCGAAGCACGTTGCGAGACTGAGCGTCGCCGACTGGAGGAGGAGCATCAAGCACAAGAACAAGAACGGCTACGGCGTGAGCAGCAGGAGCGTGAGCGGACCGCGAAGGAGGCTGAAGATCGACGGCAGCGAGCTTTGGAAGCAGGGCGCCGAGCGCGTGATCTCATCGGCCAACAAGATGTTGAAGGGACACCGGTTTTCCGCACCCCTCAACAGAATGCGATTGCCGCGATCACCCTCCTCGACACCCTCCTCAAGGAAAACGAGCTCAATCAATCTGATCACGTCGTCAACATCTTGAACCAGACGAAGACCATGATTGCGGCTTCGGTCCCAGTTAACTCCGAAAGCGTCCACACGCCGACTGGCAGCCGAGTCCCCCACTTCCGATCTCATGACTACCGTCATCCAAGCCTCAGCATCACCGGCGCAGGATCCAATC